TTGTTCCGTGACTGTTACTACGTTTTGTGTATCATTCTGCGGACTTATTGGTATCGATTAATTAAACGATTAATTCTGTTCAATCGTGAAAATGTATCGGAACAAAAATCGATGTTACTTAAATTCTAATTACTAAAATTAGAGATTTTGCCTCAATAGTTGGTGAAACCAAATGTAAGTATATTTCCAAATTGCAAATCTTCATTTACTACGAATCTAAAAGAGAAGTGAAGCACACCGCGTTTCGAGAAAACCAATCGCGGAAAAGGGGCCTCAAATGTTCGATATTAACGACTTCGCGCTGGTACCTCTTTTTTAGAAAGGATTCCTACTTCAGCCCTAACACTCACTCCCGGCGAATTGGAACGCGGTCCGGTCGGCGCTACAATTATTTAAAAAAAATATACCTATATACTTTAACTTTATACTGAAAGGTAAAGGTTGAGTCTCTTACTTCTTACTGCTTCCGACGTAGACGGTCTTTAAGAGCACTTTGAAAATAAATCTTTGTAAATGCTACACGATGTACTATGTTTTGCAAGCGAGCTACTACAAATCATAAAACGCTTCCGCAGATTTACGAGTACGTCCAAGACCGTAGGTCTTTGTGTTCCAGTGCGCGATTAATAAATCGTACGCATTTTTTTTCTGGTCGACTATATAATAAGTGATAAATGCGCAAGTTTCGTGGTTTTCATTTAATCGCGATGTCACGTATACGGTCACTTTCGGCCCTCTTTATTTCCCAGCTTCTGGGAAGAGAACGGGCGGATCTCTCTCGTGAAATATATCGAGGGGGCATTTATAACCTACTCCGATGCCGGCCGTTGTTGGCGCGTTATCGGGCAAAAATATCAGCCACTCCGTACAACCTCGCATCCTGCATGAAAAATCTTCCTTCCCGTTTCCTGGCGCGTTTCCTCCCGAAACCACCGCCGCGATCACGTTGCATCTCGCCATTTCGTGCGAAATTAACGAGATCGCGCCGCACGAAAATGCAAGTTGGCAGATCCGGCCGCGATTAGAAGCGCATTATTACCGAATTATGCGATGGGCGACGTCCGGTCCTGGAACGTCTCTTAATTACCCCGTGTGCAAGTTAAAACGCATAGTTAACTAAGAAAAAAACAACTGTGGTCAGAGACCTTGTGTTTCTAAGAACAAACCATGTGCCGAGTATACAGGGTGTACTAAAACCACCGAATATCCTTTTAATCATAGAGTCTTTAGAAAATTTCAAGACAAAGATTTATTATGGAATACAAAAGTATTGAGGCTATAATAGTTTTTAAATAATAAGCGATTATATTTCACAAATGGCAGGCCTGAGATTTCGCGGGCTCGGGCCCGGCGACATGACAAGTAATAAAAGTGTCCCTATGAATGTAGCCTTTTTTTAGCATAGTAACAACCTTCGTGGCAATTGATCGACCACTTTGACAGCTGCGACACTTTGAAGTTACAATATGTTGCAAATTTTTACTTGAATTATTTTTAAGACGTTCTAAGCTCACACGTCCGTTATTCGTAAAGACAAGATCGAGGACAAGATACTAACGCAACGCGTAAAGAAGCGAGAAAACGTATAGCGACGATGTTATTAAAATTTATGCGATAAGCAAAATTCATAAAAAGGACGAGATTCATAGGAACACTTTTATCAATTGTCATGTGCCCGAGCACGCGAAATCTCAGGCCTATCACTTGTGAAATATAATCGCTTATTATTTAAAAACTATTACAGCCTCGAGTTTTGTATTAGAATTTTTGTCTTAAAATGTTCTAAAGAATCTGCGATTAAAAGGACATCCGGTGGTTTTAGTACACTCTGTATTTTAGCCGAAAGCAACAAAGAAAGAGACAAAAGTACAGATCAGATTGCAGGTACAATACGCCTAGATTTTTTCGAAAGATCCAATGTTATCAACTAAAAGTGTAGAAGGAATCAAAATTTTATTCAGTTATAAAACTCAATCAGTTCTGACTGATATTGTCTCATATTTTCAATGTCGACACGCATACGAATCTATGACGCATTAGATTTTGATATCACTATGGTAAAATTGTGATACTTCTCGAGCACACAAGTGACATCAGCCCACTTCATATGCATGCACAATAGATTGCACAATATCGCACCCTTAAGCGATACCCAAATAATTTAATACTTATTAAATTTAATACTTAATCAATATTGATGAATTAAATTTAATACTTAATCAATATTGATTCGATAGTGCAAACTTTTGAGATACCAGGATTTAAAAGTTGGTAACGTAGGTGTATGTGATTCAGCATTAAGGCGTTTTCTGCGATTAGAATTCCCCTCTAACCAGCAACCTTGGCAGTCAAGCAGCGAGAAAGACAAAGGATTCTCGCGGGTGGAATTTGCGAGGATCGCCCGTCTCATCTCGTTTTCGATCGCGTGACTGGCCGAAGCTAGCGCACTCATAATAAGGTTACGCGATGCACACACAAGCGTGCAGTAAGAGCTCGCGGTCGGTGCCGTCTTCGTTAATTCGTTTCTCCGGGTGTGAGTCATCAAGTTCATTTCCTCCCAGCGGCTATGGTACACTCAATACGTTTCAGCTTTCAGCGGTCAGACGGGAATTTCTTTAGGGAGTTTCGCGGCGACGACCTGCGTTTCTTTGGGCCTTAAAAATTGCCGGGTCAACCGGTTGCTGAGTAGGAACCTGTTTCATCGAAAAATAATATCTAACGTCTGATTCATCTCACTTCTGAGTAATCTGTTTAGCATTTCGCTGAACCCAACCTGATGCACCTTTGGTATCTGATGAGTCAATGCTCACAGATGGCACTTATACAAAAACAAATAATACCAGTTATGCAACAGTTTATTTATTTCTATCGCTTAAAAATTTTTGATGATTTAGGAAATCTGTAGAACCGAAGTGCCTTGCTGAGAGATTATAAAACATTATGATAAGACATCTCCAAGATTGTTCCTTTTGAAGCAAATAATTTGTGTCGCTTATTCTTATATATATTTAAAATTGAGAAAAATGTTTGAAGTAATAAAACTAAAAAGCCTACTCATACAGCACTCATGTCTAAAAGACATGTTTAAGATATCTTTAAGTCGACTTTTAAACATACATATCTAAAAGACGACTTTTAAAGATGTCTTAAGTATGCCTTTTCCGCATGCGTGCTGTATGGATATCTAGTTATCTATGTATAGCTGATTTAATCATAGACATAATACATCTAGACCGAGCATTGAGCAGTGGGGGTAAAGGTTTCTAACCTCTACCTCTACCCCCACTACTCAAATAAAGACAAACGCTCGGTCTAGATATATTATGTCTATCAACATAATTTAATAACAAAACTTTGGACGCTATATATTTACATTAGTAAATTAAGCAGAGTAAAATACTTTCGTTATTGCATCAGTTTTTCCTACGTTCAAAAAATCGAAATTGCGAATAGTCGATACACTGCACGAGAATCGATCACTTTGTATCAGAAATATTCTTTGTATCCTTGTACGTTTTGCGTTTTTGTTAGCTTAAATATAAAACTGAAAATATAACCGAATAAATTGTGGTGTACCGATTTGCAGCATATCGAAACTAATGCCACAGATTAAAATTAACCAATGCAAATGACTCAATAAAATAAAATTTGGACGCTATATTTACATAAATAAATACAGCAAAATGAGCAAAATTCTTCCATTATTATATCAGCTTTTTTTTCTCCTCGACCATATTTTCTTTCTCTATGATCAGCCTTTTTCCTCTCGGCTCTCTTTCTCTCTCTTACGGAAAGACATAACGCATGCTTCTACTACTTAAAGAGAGATAAGCATAGTACTAAGGGAGGGAGAAAAATCTCTTCGAAACACACAGACTCAACGGCAATGGTAGGGGAAGATCCGGAGCAGGTAGCAAGTATCATGTGACTTTAGTGCTGATCGCTATTGGTTAGTACCCTTCTACCTCGTAGGAAAGAGAACTTTTCGCATCCCTCTCGTCGATAGCTTTACTTCGACTCGAAGCTTTATATGGGGAACAGACAAAACTAATACGTAATTGTGCAATTAACTTCGACAGAAGCACATCGGTCCTGACTCGACTAGCACCTGGTTGATACTTAGAAAAATTTTTACAAGAGACAGCCAACAAATATATCTTTTCATTTGTGTTGTGGTGTTGTGTTATGGTCTTATATAACGTGCGTCTGGTGATCGCATCGGTGAGTCATCTAATCTCAAATCTCTCGAGAGTTACTTTTGTCAAAAAACCAATAGAAACCTCTCGATAACCTATCTCGACATAATTGTGACAAGGTGCTCAAGTATTTTGGTGTGAAAACAAATAAATAAACTTACGAGAATACGTGCATATCACAGATGACAGAAATAGAAATTGAAGGGCGCGAGAAATCCTCCGGTTTTCTCGTAACAAGTAGAATTTTAGAAAACGAACGATATACCTACGCGTGTAAAAGTCAACGCGCATACGTGTGAAAACCGCAATTTATATCCGCTTTATGACAGTGCATCGCGTTCAAGGTCTTCTTTCTAAGAATCGCATCATTCTGTCGGATAGCGAACAAGGCAAATTAAAAAAATGATTTCAGTATTGTGGTTTACTCGTCGCGGTAGAATGATTAACGCGAGGAATGTTAAATAAGATCGCTTCTCTTGTCACATTATCATAATTATTTTTAAAGAGTTGTCACACAACACACACACATATGGAATCTGTTTCTAATATGAGATAGCGGGGTGTCTGCTAAATTAATTGGCATCATCTGTTGGTTTCGCCATGAATTTATTGCCCTTGAAGTGAATTCTGTTTAGTGGAAAATTGATTGTTAGATCGTGTAATCGTTGCGAAAAAAGATTTGTGATTGAATTTGGACGTTGAAAACCTGCTATCTCATATTAGAATCCTATCTCATAATAGAGGACTTTCCGTTATGTTTTATTTTATTTTTCTTTTCAAGACTTGTTATTATTGTGCCCTTAGACGTCACTCGCGTTCAAGGCAAAACTCAGCTTATCGCTTTATCGCGGTTACCAGGTCAAAGGAAAGTAAGCAGGTAAGATTACAACGCTTTACTAAAATTTTCTTATCGAGGGTTTTCTTTTTCTTTTTTTTAATAAAGATATTTTTCTTCAAGCATTAACTTCTTTCAGGAGTTAAACTGCCACGTTTCGTCGGAAGAGTATCATGTAATAGAAGTGATGATATAACGACATAAAACGGCGTATTTTATATCGCGCGAAAGGAATGAAATAAAAAATATTACGTTAGCGCCTCATAAATATACCAGCGATATTCGACAGTACGCGCTGACAATGTAAAAGACGTCTATTGATCTTCATTATTCCAAGAAATTAGTCGATGATGATACAGTCTTGCTGTGGCTAAACTACACTCGTCTCTATTGGATCTTGATGATAGCTGACGGCAAATACTTATCCTCAAGTGCACGTGTGTACCTTGATATTATGCCCTCACTGCTGGAAATACGTATCCATGCATCGGTACTTAGTCAATTACCGCTCGTTTGTTTGCACAGGCCCTTTTTGTCGAAGGGATTACTTCTACCGATATTTTAGCGACTGGTATCGGACGGACCGTCCTCTGTTATCGCGCGGTAGCGTAATATTTAACGATATGGACGATTTTGTCAATAACAGGTTGTAAGACAACGTAAATCAAGCTCTGCTGTCGTGCGTAAAATTGAAACAGCATCAGCATCGGGAGAAAAACCAAGATTGTCCCCCGAGACGTTTATTAAACTCGTCCCATCGCGTGCATAAAAACGTCGCCGGGCGATCGAACCGCGATAAAAACGGATTTTGCGCAGAAACTTTGTCCGCGACCGTAACTACGTTCGATATTTATCGTGACGGTTCACGGCTCTGCCGCCTCTTAAAAAGCCGCAAGAACGCGGCAGACAAGAAACCTTGCGGCTAAAGAGCGACGATTTCGTCGCCACATCCGCAAACACCCTCGCGAAGTTCCGGCCTTGCGATCCATCATTTGCGTCCGACTATCGTATCATTCTTTGGTACATATAATAGAGAGAGTAACTTCACCGTAACGACGCAATTTCTTTTTGTTTCGATACAAGTGGCTTTTTCTCCCAAAATCGTTTATTGCGTCGCCCCTTGCGTGTCCCTTGGCCCAGCGCTCGGTAAAAATGATTATTCGCGGCCGGATCGATATCGATGGCGATGGCGAATATTGGAGCACATGTGCTTTCGTTCCCTTTAAAACGCCAATTTGCACAGTCTGGCGACCTGAAAAGCGACGCGATAATTACAGATGCCGGAGCACGATGAATGGAGTTAATTTCGTGTAATCTTCGCGCAGACGTAGTTCGGCTATTTCGAGAAACTGATTCGTCGCGATCGCTCCCCTTGACACTCTGGGATTCACTTATCGTGAAAATCACCGTAGTACAATGCGCCCAATGTGTCTCGGAGGGCTTCGTGACTAACGTTACGGAACGCTCGCCGGAGCCTCAAGTTCTTTCGCTCCTGCAGTTAGCGCGCACGTAGGCGACGGTTTAAAATTACAAAATTGCGGATATTAGTCGTACTCTGTTGCAGCTGCGCGTCGAAAACCATACATACGCGCGTACGTACGCCCGCGTTACTCCCGTATGGACGTGAGTTACGTGTGTACACGCATCGAGTTTGTTTGGTGCTTGCACCGTTTATCGCATTTTTTTTCTATCTCTGTTTATCCTTCTCTCGAATGGTTATCAGTGATAACGGAAAACGGACTGTTTGCGGTATATGCGTAAACCCGTTGAAAGACTCCAAATTTTACTTTTATTATTTATCTGTATTTATACACGTTATGGAAAAATATATGACACTACATAAAACTTCTTTACAATGCGGTGGATTTAATGCATTTATTTTTATTTCCAATTATCACTGTTACTGAGCTAATCTCACGTTTCACTTGGATACCACAAACGATACACGTAAACGGATGTTACGAGCGATCGTTTATTTTTCTCTTTCTCTTTTAAAAAAGAAAAGTAAGTCTGCGATATAGTTCGCAGCTCTATCGTCTTCAGCTTCCTAGTATGTTTTTTCCTTTGTTCGTTATCACTAACCCAGATAGAGCGAGACCGTATAACATCCGTGAACTACGTATTGTTGTGCGCTCGCGTAGAGACGGCCCTTCCACGCTCAGGCTGGAAGTGCGACTTTTTTGAGGAAAGAACGTTCCTTCACGCGGCTTCGATTGATTGGCGGTTTGTGCCGTTTTGGAAAAAGAAAGAAAGGAGGAAGCGATTCTGTACCAATACGAAATAAAGATCTTCTCCGTTTCCTTTACCGGTGCATAGTTATTCGCGGCGAACTCGGGAGTGCGCGGCTGCGCGACATCTCCGCGGACGCGCAATAGTGTTAACGATATATATACAGGGT